GTCTCACAGTTCACCTGTCTCACAGTTCACCTGTCTCACAGTTCACCTGTCTCACAGTTAGCCTGTCTCACAGTTCACCTGTGTACTGGTCTCACAGTTACCTTTGTCTCACAGTTCACCTGTCTCACAGTTCACCTGTCTCACAATTCACCTGTCTCACAGTTGATCTGTCTCATAGTTCACCTTTCTCACAAAGCACCTGTCTCACAGTTACCTTTGTCTCACAGTTTACCTGTCTCTCAGTTCACCTGTCTCACAGTTGACCTGTCTCATAGTTCACCTGTCTCACAGTTCACCTGTCTCACTGTTCACCAGTCTCACAGTTCACCTGTCTCACAGTTCACCTGTCTCACAGTTGATCTGTCTCATAGTTCACCTGTCTCACAGTTCACCTGTCTCACAGTTCACCTGTCTCACAGTTGATCTGTCTCATAGTTCACCTGTCTCACAGTTCACCTGTCTCACAGTTCACCTGTCTCACTGTTCACCTGTCTCACAGTTTACCTGTCTCACAGTTCACCTGTCTCACAGTTGATCTGTCTCATAGTTCACCTGTCTCACAGTTCACCTGTCTCACAGTTCACCCGTCTCACAGTTCACCTGTCTCACAGTTCACCTGTCTCACAGTTGATCTGTCTCATAGTTCACCTGTCTCACAGTTCACCTGTCTCACAGTTCACCTGTCTCACAGTTCACCTGTCTCACAGTTCACCTGTCTCACAGTTCACCTGTCTCACAGTTCCCCTGTCTCACAGTTCACCTGTCTCACAATTCACCTGTCTCATAGTTCACCTGTCTCACAGTTAACCTGTCTCACAGTTCACCTGTCTCACAGTTCACCTGTCTCACAGTTCACCTGTCTCACAGTTTACCTGTCTCACAGTTCACCTGTCTCACAGTTCACCTGTCTCACAGTTCATCTGTCTCATAGTTCACCTATGTGTTGGTCTCACAGTTCACCTGTCTCACAGTTCACCTGTCTCACAGTTCACTTGTCTCACAGTTCACCTGTCTCACAGTTCACCTGTCTCACAGTTCACCTGTCTCACAGTTCACCTATGTACTGGTCTCACAGTTACCTTTGTCTCACAGTTTACCTGTCTCACAATTCACCTGTCTCACAGTTCACCTGTCTCACAGTTCACCTGTCTCACAGTTCACTTGTCTCACAGTTCACCTGTCTCACAGTTCACCTGTCTCACGGTTCACTTCTGTACTGATCTCACCGCCGTTAACCCCTCAACCCCACCTGACCCATTTCTCGAGCCTGAAAAAGCCAGATGTTTAAAAGAAGGACTTTCTGAAGAGGTCCCAAGTACCCACTGTTTGAACTCTTCTAAAACAATTGCTTCCTGCTAGTCTGGGGCTCCTACATTTTTAAACACCAGAAATTTGAAAGCTGGAGACTTGGTTGAACTAGCTGGAAGCATTTGGACCGAGTTGAAAAAAATATTTCTAGTCTGACGGAAGTCGGTGTTGAAATTTCCTGGGGGAATACTACGGCAAATTGTTTTAGTAGGGGATAGGGGAGGGGTGGGGTAAAAAAATTCGAATCAATATCACAGTGTACTCAGTCACGAAACAATTTGAGTTGAGATGAAATTCTGTGTTGACTGTAACATGTGGCCGGACAGAAATTTGATCCGTTTCAGGATTTGATCAGTTTCAGGATTTGATCAGTTTTAGAATCTGATCAGTTTTAGGAATTTATCAGTTTTTAGAATCTGGTCAGTTTTAGGATTTTATCAGTTTTAAAATTGTGTATTTTTCTTGATTTCGTCGTTTCAAATGTATTTCGGTTAATTTTTGTGTTTCATCTCAAGCAAAATGATAGATCGATCTAGATCTATATTTAAAACAAACTGAGTTTGTTTTTTGAGAACTTGTACCGTAGATATTGCACCATTTTAAAACAGACAACTGTAACAGAGCGGTCAATATATACCTAGGTCAACAGGACAGCGGCTAAGTGACCACCACGACGTTGTTGTGATAGGTTAGGTCGGGAGAGGGGGGGGGGGGGGTGAGGCAAAAGTTAAATTTATTTTCGTCTCAAACCAGGACGTTGGAAAGATAAACACTAGCAGCTGACCCGTAACTCACCGGGTTAGGCTTACATTGTGCCAGTGTTTCTTTCTGAGATTTTTCCTCAGGGGGGTAGTTGAAACTCTCGAGGGCGGGGGCACTTAATTTCTTGAGAGGGGCATTGGTTAAAGTGTGTATATCTAATATAAATTATATATCTTTTTATTTCTTGACGAGGGGTATGTGTGTGTATGGGGGGGGTAGGGTGCGGGTGGTGGGAAGGTGAAGGGCTGACAATTGAAACTGGCAGAAGACAACACCCGATCGTGAGATTTAATTACTAGTGATGACTGTCTATGTATTGAATGTCGACGGCGCTGTATTCTAGTTGAAACTTGGTGAAATAGGAAAACTTTTTTTTTTAGATTTCATGTACCAGACGGAAGCATAACCTCTGTTAACTGGTTAGCCTCTAGGTCCGACCTAGCAGAAACCCATTAAATGGCAAGCATTATACTGTACTTTGATTTGTGAGATGGGAGGCTATTCAAACCGATAGACAAGCGCCTTAGGGGCTGAGTAAACGTTAAGTAAGGCTTTAATGTAATACTGGGTAGGTCTGATGTTGACTGGGTAGGTCTGATGTTGACTGGGTAGGTCTGATGTTGACTGGGTAGGTCTGATGTAGACTGGGTAGGTCTGATGTTGACTGGGTAGGTCTGATGTTGACTGGGTAGGTCTGATGTTGACAGTACTGGGTAGGTCTGATGTTGACTGGGTAGGTCTGATGTTAAATGGGTAGGTCTGATGTTGACAGCAGTGGGTAGGTCTGGTGTTGACAGTAGTGGGTAGGTCTGATGTTGACTGGGTAGGTCTGATGTTAAATGGGTAGGTCTGATGTTGACTGGGTAGGTCTGATGTTGACAGTAGTGGGTAGGTCTGGTGTTGACAGTAGTGGGTAGGTCTGATATTGACTGGGTAGGTCTGATGTTGACTGGGTAGGTCTGATGTTGACTGGGTAGGTCTGATGTTGACTGGGTAGGTCTGATGTTGACTGGGTAGGTCTGATGTTGACAGTAGTGGGTAGGTCTGATATTGACTGGGTAGGTCTGATGTTGACTGGGTAGGTCTGATGTTGACAGTAGTGGGTAGGTCTGATATTGACTGGGTAGGTCTGATGTTGACTGGGTAGGTCTGATGTTGACTGGGTAGGTCTGATGTTGACTGGGTAGGTCTGGTGTTGACAGTAGTGGGTAGGTCTGATGTTGACTAGGTAGGTCTGATGTTGACTGGGTAGGTCTGATGTTGACTGGGTAGGTCTGATGTTGACAGTAGTGGGTAGGTCTGATGTTGACTGGGTAGGTCTGATGTTGACTGGGTAGGTCTGATGTTGACAGTAGTGGGTAGGTCTGATGTTGACAGTAGTGGGTAGGTCTGATGTTGACAGTAGTGGGTAGGTCTGATGTTAAATGGGTAGGTCTGATGTTGACTGGGTAGGTCTGATGTTAACAGTAGTTGGTAGGTCTGATGTTGACTGGGTAGGTCAAATGTTAACAGTAGTTGGTAGGTCTGATGTTGACTGGGTAGGTCTGATGTTGACTGGGTAGGTCTGATGTTGACTGGGTAGGTCTGATGTTGACTGGGTAGGTCTGAGGTTGACATGAACATGACATGAACATTACATGAACATGGCATGAACATGGCATGAACATAACATAAACATGACATGAACATTACTTGAACATGGCATGAACATGACATGAACATGGCATGAACATGGCATGAACATGGCATGAACATGACATGAACATGAGCATGACATGAACATGACATGAACATGACATGAACATTACTTGAACATGGCATGAACATGACATGAACATGGCATGAACATGGCATGAACATGGCATGAACATGACATGACATGGCATGGCATGACATGACATGAACATGAACATTAACATGGCATGAACATGACATGAACATGACATGAACATGACACGAGTCAAAAGTCTGTAGCTCCGCCCTTCAACCGGCAACTTGTGTGGCACGTGACCGAGGGAACTAGTTAAAACGATAAGCTCTTCATTTAACTAGACAAGTTCATTTGAAATTAATGAGAGCTTAAAGCTTGCGTGATAGAAATGTGGTGAATAGAAATCATATTGATTTCTTGATGTTGGTCGCTACACTTAGCAGTTGTGGTTCTGTGGTGGTATCCTGCAAGTGGTATTCTGTTGGTGCTATTTGTGGTATCCTGTTGGTGCTATTTGTGGTATCCTGTTGGTGCTACTAGTGGTATCCTGTTGTGTAGGACTGTACCATCAGCGCTATCCAGCCTTTTCAAGTGTTTCTTTGAAAGATAAAATCGATGCAATAGTCTACTACAGCAAATAAATGGCTTTTTTTGTTTTGTAATAAAACTTTGTGGTAGAATCAGTCATGAGACTGACATGACTTACGTTGACCCTAGCCTCAGTCAAGCGACTTAAATGACTGATGATGAGCATGCTTGAAGCCGGCGAGTATTTAATTAACCAGCCACCAGAGGGCGCGAGTGTGCCAACAATGAGCGGGGAGACAACCCAATGTACACGCATCAAACGTGAGCACTCATTTGCTCGGTCGTCTGCGCGCGGCAGACGTGCGTCTCCCCGTCTGTTTACATGGCGTTTTTCTTTTTCTTCTTGTTGAAATCTTCCTCGCTCGTACCTGCGGCTCGTGTACTTGTGTTCACTGGCAAACGCTAATATTTTTCTAACAATTTCCAATCTGTATGCCTTGTTTATTTCTTTCTTAAAGGTGAAATAAAAAATAAAAAAAAAAACAACGAAAAAGAATTGAGTAGAAATATAGGTTTTATTGAAGGTATCAGTTGTGGTAGAATATTATTGGGATACATTTTTGTGTGAGTTCTGATCAGTGAGGAAAAATTCATTAACGGAAAATTAATTAGAATTAAGTGTGGTGAAACAATGGAAACTAAACATCCAGAGGAGAAAGAGACGTGGCTAAATGAGAAGTCAAAGGATGAATTAGCGCCCCGGTAAGTTGGGTAGTTTGGTGGTTGATTGTATAGTTGATGGTGTGGTTTATTTTGTGGTTGATGGTGTGGTTGGTGGTGTGGTTGATGGTATGGCTGATTGTGTGGTTTATTTTGTAGTTGATGGTGTGGTTGTTGATGTTGATGGTGAGGTTAATGGTGTGGTTGAAGGTGTGGTTTAATTTGTGGTTGATGGTGTGGTTGAAGGTGTGGTTTAATTTGTGGTTGATGGTATCGTTGATGGTGTGGTTGATGGTGTGGTTGATGTTGTTGATGGTGTGGTTGATGGTGTGGTTGATGGTGTGGCTGATGTGTGGTTAGTGCTGTGGTTGATGGTGTGGTTAATGGTGTGGTTGATGATGTTGTTGATGGTATGGTTGATGGTATGGTTGATGGCGTGGTTGATGGTGTGTCTGATGCTGTGGTTGATGGTGTGTCTGATGCTGTGGTTGATGGTCTGGTTGATTGTGTGGTTGATGCTGTGGTTGATTGTGTGGTTGATAGTGTGGTTGATGGTGTGGTTGATGGTATGGTTGATGCTGTGGTTGATGGTCTGGTTGATGGTGTGGTTGATGGTATGGTTGATGCTGTTGATGGTGTGGTTGATGGTGTGGTTGATGGTGTGTCTGATGCTGTGGTTGATGGTGTGGTTGATGGTGTGGCTGATGGTGTGGTTGATGATGTTGATGGTGTGGTTGATGCTGTTGATGGTGTGGTTGATGGTGTGGTTGATGGTGTGTCTGATGCTGTGGTTGATGGTGTGGTTGATGGTGTGGTTGATGCTGTTGATGGTGTGGTTGATGTTGTTAATGGTGTGGTTGATGGTGTGGTTGATGGTGTGGTTGATGGTGTGGTTGATGGTGTGTCTGATGCTGTGGTTGATGATGTGGTTGATGGTGTGGTTGATGGTGTGGTTGATGATGTTGTTGATGCTCTTGATGGTGTGGTTGATGCTGTTGATGGTGTGGTTGATGGTGTGGTTGATGGTGTGGTTGATGGTGTGTCTGATGTTGTTGACGGTGTGGTTTATTTTGTGGTTGATGGTGTGGTTTATTTTGTGGTTGTTGGTGTGGTTGATGTTGTTGTATGTGTGGTTGATGTTGTTGTTGATTGCGTGGTTTAAGGTGTGGTTAATGCTGTGATTGATGCTGTGATTGATGCTGTGGTTGATGATGTTGTTGATGGTGTGGTTGATGATGTGGTTGATGGTATGGTTGATACTGTGGTTGATGATGTGGTTGATGATGTTGTTGATGGTGTGGTTGATGATGTGGTTGATGGTATGGTTGATGATGTGGTTGATGATGTGGTTGTTGGTGTGAATGATGCTGTGGTGTGGTAGTCTTGTAGTTAATAGTATCGTTAATGGTGTGGTAGATGTTGTAAGTCAATAAATTACTTGATTCTATGGTAATTTGCCGTGTTAAGGTGAAGATTTATACTGTTGTAGCCTGTTTAATGTTTAATGTTGTGTGGTGTTGCTCTTAGTACCCAGGTTGTGTTAATAAATTTACAGAACTGTTTCACTGCTGTCACCCGTGTGTGATGTTACACATAAAAATTAGAACCTTTTATAAACATGTTGAATTACCGGATGGGTAATTCTAGTGCCATGAATAGCTAACCTGAAACTCTCGAGTTCGGATCCATAGCTCCAGCGGGTAGATTATTCCTGGACCATCCGCCCTAAAGTTCTCTAGTCTCCTAATATTGGCTGGGCATACAGCTACCCATACATATCTGTACATTAAATATTAAAAGAGAGAGTCTTGAGTCTAGTACTTTTTGTTCCGGATAAATTTTACCGTTCCTTTTACACTTGGTGTAAAGTATTATTCGTAACATCAATTAGAATAAATCAACTATGAATCTAATCAATAAAACATAAACATACATCAAACACACGTAACTAAATCATAATAATCATCTTGCACACAGTGGCTGTATACATTCCAGAAATTAATTTAAAAAATGAATATTGAATAAACGCTCAAGAAGTGGTGAGGATATTATAGTTGTGGACCTCAGACAAACTCACACAAGCTGAGTGATCACACACATTAGCACACGTCATTCACACAAACCTTCAACACACAGCAGCTGAGTGATCACACACATTAGCATACGTCATTCACACAAACCTTCAACAAACTCACACAAGCTGAGAGATCACACACATTAGCATACGTCATTCACACAAACCTTCAACAAACTCACACAAGCTGAGTGATCACACACATTAGCATACGTCATTCACACAAACCTTCAACAAACTCACACAAGCTGAGTGATCACACACATTAGCATACGTCATTCACACAAACCTTCAACAAACTCACACAAGCTGAGAGATCACACACATTAGCATACGTCATTCACACAAACCTTCAACAAACTCACACAAGCTGAGTGATCACACACATTAGCATACGTCATTCACACAAACCTTCAACAAACTCACACAAGCTGAGTGATCACACACATTAGCATACGTCATTCACACAAACCTTCAACAAACTCACACAAGCTGAGTGATCACACACATTAGCATACGTCATTCACACAAACCTTCAACAAGTTTACACAAGCTGAGTGATCACACACATTAGCACTCGTCATTCACACACATTAGCATATGTTATTTACACAAACAAAAACCCTGCACTGGATTCTGTACCATGTACATCGATATTAGTGGCAAGCACAGAATAGTACCATAGTATGGCTTCTATAGCACTCAACATCCACCAATGTCGTTAGTCGGGTTTCGACAAATAAGGCAACTGTCTGTCACTCACAAATGATATTGATGTAAATAAATAAATACAGATATATATATATATATATATATATATATATATATATATATATATATATATATATATATATACATTGAGACAACGGTACACCAATATTGCGCAATAGGTAGATATGTATTTGAGGTTTCTTTATATACATGACGTATGTTAATTAAAAAATACTGTGGCTTGCATAAGTATGTTATGAAGGTATTTTTTATTACGCAATAGCGTTGCAGCGGCTGATTTGATGAAGCGATTGGCTCGCTGTAATATATTGTCAGTAACAAAAAGAATAAGCAAAGATTTTGTGAGGGTGGGGATGACACTTCCAGCGTATTTAAAAAAAATGGACGTGTTTCACGAAACCGCTCGTTTTTTTTTTTGTGAAGCCACATAATGGCGGTAAGTTCTTGTGCTTTGCTTTGTTAAATTATCGAATTCTGGAGTTTTTTTGAGAAATCGGAATTTGAATGGTCTCACTTCGGGTTACCGGAAATCACCGAAGAGGGGAAAGAAACCTACGTCAAGAATTTAATGTTTAACGGACGACATTTCGTCCACCGCATTAAATCGTTACTCTGGTTACACACATACATACGCACACATACATACGCACACACAAATATATACATACACACACATGCACACGCACGCACGTACGCACACAGACAGACAGACGCACATACATACACTTACTCTTACACACACATACACACATACATACATACACACACATACACACCAACATAACACACACATACATACCAACATACACTCAAATTCAGAGCTCACACACACAGACTGCCCGACACATTGCCAAAAATGCCAAACTAAATTTTTGTGCTCTGGTAGACCTTGTGAAAGTCTCGATTTACATGTTTTGGCCGACGACATAACTTCCTCTATTTTTTGTATACGAATGGGTGTAAAGTCCAACTCTACAACAGTCCCATTCATACCTCGAAAAAAATTTATCTCCGAATTTATTTCGTTATCTTCTCCGTAAAATGAAATTAAACGCAAAAATACCGATGCGACAGTTTACCCCAATCTCAGCGTAGAGTAAAATAATAATAAAAACAGCTGGGAACTTTTATAGCTCTCGTTCTTGTTTTAGATTTAGTTCGCGGGAATAGCGTAGAATAGAATGGAAACACGATGGGCAATGGCGAAGGTCTCACGTCTCATTCAGTAGCTATAGCCACAATAAGTTACGGTAAACTTATTAATTTTGTATGCCGTCTGACGTGTAGATCAAGATAACACGTTAGCGACAAATTTTATCATCCATTGTTTACAAGATATCAGCTCCCGATGGCATAAAAGATAAGAACATGTGAAGGAAAATAGAGTTGCACTTCAAAAACGTCGATGTTATAGGGTTGGTTGAGATAAGTGGGTTCGTATATATATATATATATATATATATATATATATATATATATATATATATATATATATATTTATATATATATATATATATATATATATATATATATATATATATATATATATATATATATATATATATATATTTATATAAATAGGGTAGCTTCTAGCAGATATTTTGTATTATTTATCAATGTAAACTACCAACCATGACGTACCCATATCACCTATCGCCCTAGACACTCATTGATGCCTTATTTGTAGACAGAGACACACAAACATAAGGTAACGTTAAAAAAGAAAATCCACCCCCTGCATTACGGAAATACACAATGTCTTGATTGGAATCTACTTACTAATTAAAATCAAAATAGATTAAAGAAAAATAACTCGTTAATCATAACCCGAATCGTGCAAAGTAAAACAAAAGAACATTAGAACGGGTTTTCAGGGCGATGATAGAAGCCAAAATATTTTTCAGTGCACTCAAAATGATTCGTTTATAAGTGACGTTTGTGAGAGTTCGTAATGTCTTGACTGAGACATTTTTTATACGGCATTATTTTAGCTTCTCATTTCAATTCCTATGGTCAAGTTAGCGCCCCCCCCTCTCAGAAAACCCCCCACCCCCACAGTTTGGGAACCTGTGAACTAAACAAATTTACAGTTTTGATTACCATATCCCCCCTCCCCTCCCCCACACTTCCACATTGAAAAGCCCGTGTATGTGCTCGATAATGAATTTAGCATTGATCCGTTACTTAGCTATCACGGGCAAGAATCGAATTACAGCTTACGACTTTTTAATGTGATTTCTCCACTGTCCCCTTTGACGAATGGCTGTGTTTTACTTTGATCAGTCAGACATAACCTAGTTTGCTGTGTAACATTTACAGCAGTTTCCGTTGGTGTCGCACCCTCCCCCTCCCCCAATCCGGTTACTTTTGAACGGACGGCATGATTACTTTATTATATTAATCCATCTGGATAAAGCTTTTTTTTTCTGTATGAAACCATATGGATAAAAAGGTGTTTTCTCTGTATAAATCCATGTCAATAAAGCAAATATTTTCTATGTAAAAGTAGTAGTCTTGTCCCCACCCCAACACCCCACCCACCCTGCCACCATTGGTAGAAGCTGTTGTTCTGTTCACTTAATTTCACCCGCTGCTAATGCAAAAGAGTAAAATGGATGTTTTCTCAATAACTTAGATAATGAATGCCCCCCAACCACCCCCCCCCACAACACACCGTTCGATGAATGATGTAATTATTTACGACTAATTACTAAAACAACCCAAATAAATTATTTTAAACTCAATTTTTTTTCTCTTTTTGGTGTCACCCCCCACCACTGAAATTAGCAAATTTTCTTTTTTTTGTGTCAATCCCAACCCTTTTTGTTGGGCTTGTCATATCGTAAAGTGTATCTAACTCAAATAAAAGATTACAGACATTTGAAAGACTATCGTGGTCTGTATTTCTCGTATGCTGAGTATAGAGGGAACTATTCGTGCGAAACATTGAAATCGATATTTTGACTTCTCTAGACCTTTTACACTTTCCCGAGTCGTAAAAACTTAGTTTTCCAATATTGTATGTATGCATGTGTGTGTTGTAACAAGTCAGGGTTGACGGTTCGTCCGAATGTCATGGTTGTGGGGATGTCATAAAGGTCAGGGTTCAGAGGTCATACAAAAGTCAGGTTTAAGAGGTTGTCCGAAAGTCAACAAATACTGTTGAAAAGTCTCGGAAAAGTCATGCTCAAAAGGGGTAAAAATTTCTGGGTTCAGAGGTCAAACAAAATTCTGGGTTCAGAGGTCAAACAAAATCCTGGGTTCAGAGGTCAAACAAAATTTTGGGATCACAGGTCATTCGAAATTCTGGGTTCACAAGGCATTTGAAATTCGGAGTTCAGAGGTCATAAAGCCAGCAGCGACGGGAATCGCTAAGGGAGCCGCTATTGCTCTAACAACGTTATTCGACGTGTCCGATTTAAATCGATCTCGGTTAACAAGGCTATTACCATTACAGAAATGTAATCTATTAATTATCATTAATTATTTTATGAAAGCCAATATAACGTGAAGAACAACACCATATTTTTTAACCTGAATAAGCTGATTAAATGAAGCTAATTAAGTGATA